CAAGGTAACCCGTGAACGTCGTTTTGCTAGATTATCTGAACTAAAGTTTAATGAAGGATTTCGGACATTTTGAACTGTGATGCATAAAGCTTTATCTTAATTTTCTACTTTTGCTCGTTAAATATTATTATTGATTTCATGTATGTTCGTTTCAATACTGCATTCTGTTTAAAATGCGCTGTACTATTTGTTATAAGTGCACCAATCCATATATGCTTGTTCATGTGAAAGTATTTGTCATGTGACATGTGCTAAAGCAGAATCATTTGCATTACCCTGGATATGCCAACCTTGTTTAAGTAATGCAATTCCTTTTAATCACATAGTTGATGATTTAGACTTTAAGTTCGCTATTCATACCTTTTTTTCAAATAGACCACCCTTCATTTCATAATAGAAGTCACGATGATTTACAATTTGATATTTTCTCCCTGAATGAAGTGATGAGTTCCCGGTTAGATGACCATATTTCTGATTGTAATTATTATTTCAATGACACCTTCAATGTTAAAATTAATAATCGAAAATCAGAAAGTCAATTTTCATTGTTCCACTTGAATGCTCGAAGTCTTATTTCAAAGTTTTCTCATGTTCAAGATTAAATACATACACTTCACCACGACTTCACAATATACGCATTTACGGAAACCTGGTTTAAGGGAGACCCACATTCATTTTATAGTTTGCCTAATTACAAACTTATTCAAAAACATAGAATTGGTCGTGTAGGCGGGGGTGTGTGTATGTACGTCAGAGACAATGTCACCTTCAAACCAAGGACGGATTTGGATTTTTGTACTTCAACTATAGATACTGTTTTTATTGAAATCGTAAAGGAAGGGAAGAATTTAATCGTTGGAACTGTATACAAATCTCCCGATACTTGTGGTGCAGAGTTTAATGACCATCTTGAAGAATGTCTTGGTAAAGTTAACAAAGAGAATAAACAATGTTATATTGCTGGAGACTTTAACTTTGATTTACTTAGTTACGCCCTTCATTCCGATACCAATGCATTTATCGATAAAATGTACTCCTCTTTTCTCCCACTTATCACGAAACCAACCCGTTTAACAACTAACTCATCTACTTGTATTGATAATATCTTTACGAATGTTTTGAATAAGCCAATCCTGCCTGGTATTTTGTATTCAGATGTGTTTGATCACTTTCCCATCTTTCAAGTAATGAACTCTTTACCACCAAATCACCACACCCACTTAAATAGGAACAATGCGAGTCAAGTTAAACACCGAATAAACTTAAACTCATTGTGTGAAGATTTAGCATTGTATGATTGGTCTTTGGTATCACCCAAAACCAATGTCAACGAAGCTTACGATACCTTTATTCAAGATTTTAAAAAGATGATTTCAAAGCATTCGAAAACAATACCTGGTAAGGATAGACGTAGATCATCAAAAAAACCATGGATTACGAAAGGCATTCTTAAATCCATTGGTAGAAAGGAACGCTTGTATAAGCGGTATTTAAAACTGAAAAACCCCTCCGTGAAGAAAAAGTATACATCTTTCAGAAATAGGCTTACTCACATTATACGTGTCTCTAAAAAGAACTACTTTGCTGAAAAGCTTGAATCAAATCGCCACGATTTAAAGAATACTTGGAAAACTCTGAACAACCTGCTTGGTAAAGATAGTAAATCGAAATTACCCTTATTCATTCGTAGAGATGGTGTAAGGCTTACTGAACCAAAAGCAATTGCAAATGCATTTAACTCGTTTTTCATTAATGCTGGTTGTTTTGATGATCCCCAGACCCCAGATGCTTTCGTGACTATTTGAAAACCAGCGTAACACATTCTTTGTTTCTTTCACCAACAGATCGAAATGAGATCTTGAAGTTATCCTCTTCCTTGAAAAATAAACACTCATGTGGGGTGGATGATATGTCACCATACGTTATAAAGAAGTTAATTTCTTATATTGTTGAACCTTTAACCCATGTGTTTAATTCATCATTTATGTCTGGAACATTTCCTGAATCAATGAAAGTTTCAAAAGTCATACCTTTATTTAAAAAAGGTGATATACATGATTTATCGAACTATCGCCCAATATCATTGCTTTCGACTTTTTCCAAGATTTTAGAAAGCCTAATGTACAATCGATTATTTACTTTCCTTCATAAGCATTCATTTATTTTTTCGGAACAGTTTGGGTTTCGAAAATGTTATTCAACAGAGTCAGCTTTACTTTTTGCATCCGAACTTTTGTACAAATTTTATGAAAAGAAAGAGATAGCTTTAGGAGTGTATGTATACCTTAGCAAGGCATTCGATTGTTTGGATCACAAAATCTTATTAAGAAAACTAAGTTTTAATGGAATTAGAGGCATTCCATTGGAATGGTTCCAAAGTTATCTGTCTCATAGAACAAAATATAATGAATCTGACTCTGAATTGCTATTAATGAAGCAAGGTGTTCCTCAAGGTAGTATCTTGGGCCCGTTATTATTTTTGCTCTTCATAAATGACATTGTTGAGTCTTCAAGGAAATTACATTATGTACTGTATGCCGATGACACAAACATCTTCTATTCTGGTAAAAATTTGAAAGACTTAATTTTCGAAGCCAATGTTGAACTTCAAAAGGTTGCTAGCTGGTTTTCAGCAAATAAACTAAAAATTAAATCAGACCAAAACAAAGTTCATGATATTTAACTTTGGCAAAAAGAATGATACTTTAATTGAAAATGTTAATCTGACAATAGATGGTAACTGTATTGACCAGGTATAATTTGCAAATTTTTTAGGAGTTGGCATGACAACAAACTTACATGGGCAAAACACATTGAATTAATTTCCAGGAAGATTCGGTCCCAAGTCGGTTTAATGAATAAGCTCAAAAGTTTTCTACCATCCTCTACCATGCTTTCTCTATACTATACCCTCATATATCCTTATATCAAACTTCAAAAGCGGGCTGTTCGGTTTTGCTGCAACGCTTCCTTCAGGGCGCACACCTCTTCATTATTTAAATCCTTAAATTTACTCAAACTTCCAGATATTCTTTCTCAACCGACTTTTTATATATGTACAAACTCCAAAATGATTTGCTACCAGTAACGTTTTATGACAGTTTTCATTTGAACTCGGATGTCCACTCCTTTAATACAAGAAGAAAAAAAAGACTTCCATCTACCAAAATTCACTTACTCATTTTTGCAAAATAAATCAATTAGATATCAAGGTCCTCACAAATGTAACTCCATGGCAAGTTATTTAAAGGGTATTAAGAACCACAACGCATTTAAACTTAAACTGAAAAGAACAGTACTTGCCACTTATTGATATATTGAAATACATAATTGATTCATATATTTTGTTAGCATGTAACATTATTATTATTATTATTATTATTATTATTATTATTATTATTATTATTATTATTATTATTGTATTGTATCGTATTTCATCGTATTGTATTGTATAGTATCTGTATGTTTTTATGTTTGGGGTTGCTTGTTTACAAGTTTTTAACTTATTTTAGCAATCCCGGTATTTATAATGATTTCATTTGTAATGATTTCATTTTGATGTTTTTAATCTTTTGCCGAATAAATGTGAATTTGAATTTGAACTTGTTTGTCAAAGAAATGTGTATGTTTAGATACGAGATTTAAGTCCAGCATTTATGCAAGTTTTTGTTATGGTATAAAATTGTTCATTACAAGTTAAATGCTCCTTGCATAAATATGGCAGCACAACTAATGTTTGATAATGTCCCTCAGTTGGACTCAGGGTATAAATTTGAAGATTGGACTGAGGTTCTTGAGTCATGGTTTATAGCAAATGATATCAGAGCAGATGAAAAGAAGAAGGGTATATTCTTGTCAGGATTAGGAAGTATACACATGATGCACAGGTTTGAATGCGTCGGTAGGGATTGTGTGCACAAGGTACCTTTGAATGGTTTTAGACCAAATTTAAAGGTACCACGTGCACACAATTCCACTGACCCACGAATTAAACCTGTGCATCACCTGTTTTATAAGATGGGGCTCTCAACATTGTCAAAAATACAACATTTTGTTATTTTACCTTTTACCGGATGCATGGCAAAATCATGCTTTCCGGCAGTACCGGACGCATGATTTTGCATAATTTGTCTGTTCTTAGTGCAATGGATTAAAAAAAATGTAGAATGACTAAGGCCTAAACCTTAACAAAATAAAGTCGGGCCTCACTGACCTTAACATGAAACCTTAACAAAAGAAAGTTATTAAATCAATAAAACCTTATTTTGCAAGCTTTTTTGAGTTTTGGGGATGTGCAGTCTAAATTAGAAGAGGTCTGGATCAATTGCAGAAATTGAGACTGTCCATCATCCTTGGTCTGAAGAAATTTCATAAATACTTACATGAAAGGAAATTCACTATAGTCACAGATCACAAGCCCTTACTTGGCTTATTTGGAGACAAGCCAGCAAGCCCGATGGCCTCTGCAAGACTGTCGAGATCTGACACATGATCATGTCAACATATGATTACACCCAGGCGCGTACGCAGGGGGTGGTTTTGGGGTTAAACCCCCCTCGAGTTTTTTTTATGTGTATGTTTTATGTATGTTTTTTTGGAAACCCCCCTTTTGATTTTAACCCCCCCCTTGAAAAAAATCCTGCGTACGCCACTGATTACACCATTGTTTACAAGGAAGGCAAGAGACACCAGAATGCCGATGGATTGTCCAGATTACTAATGCCTTCAACTGATGGAAGTAAATGGCCAAATGAGGACTTAGCAGAATTGAGTGATCTGCAGCCAGGAAGAGTCAACGTGTTGTTTGACATAGACTCTCGACCAGTTGATGCGAGTGAAGTGAAACAAAAAACTGACAAGGACCCAATATTGCAAAAGGTCAAACATAACGTTATGCAAGGATGTCAAACATAACGATATGCAAGGATGGCCAAGTTCCAGGAATTTAGATGATGAAGTTCGCCCATTTGCTCGGAAGAAAACAGAGTTGACTATAGAAGATGATGTTCTTCTATGGGGACAAAAGAGTTGTCATACCCCAGGATCCTGATATGCGTACCAGGATAGTAGATGAGCTTCACGCTACACATCCAGACATAGTCAAGATGAAAGCCCTAGCTCGATCTTTTGTTTGGTGGCCCGGAATAGACAGATGTTTAGAGCAGAAGGTTCGTACGTGTTCAGTGTGCAAGGAACATCAGAACAACCCTCAAGCAGCTCCTATTCATCCTTGGGAGTTCCCAGAGAGACCGTGGATGAGAATACACATCGATTACCCCTCAATTGAGAACCAAGATGTTCTGATAGTCGTAGATGCACATTGCAAATGGATAGAAGCTGTTAGAGTTCCTAATGCAACCGCTTCTGCCACAGTAACTGCTATGAGACGCCTATTTGCTACACATGGGATTCCGGAAACGTTGGTTAGTGACAATGGAACTCAAGTCAGCTCAGAAGAATTTACCAAATTTCTCACTGACAACAACATAGAACATATGTGCAAACTGCCCTCACCACCCATCAAGTAATGGCTTAGCAGAGAGAGCTGTTCAGATAGTAAAGAGGTGTTAAGAAAACAAGTGGAAATAATTTGGAGATGCGAGAATCCAAAAATTCTTAATGACATACCGGATCACACCCCATGAAACCACCGGTACATGCCCAAGTATATTTGTAAAGCGCTATATAAAAATTAAATATTATTATTATTAAGTGAACTTCTGTACAAGAGAAGGATTGGGAGCAGATTAGATCAAGTCCGTCCAGAATTGACGAAGACTGTGAAACAAAAACAATCTGCCATGAGACAGAGGTGAGACAAAAGGACCAAGATAGACGTTAAAACATTCAAGACCGTGTACTAGTAAAGAACTACACTTCCGGTCAAACATGGTTATATGGTCAAGTACCCGAGTTACTCAGTGAGTCAATGTATATTGTAAAATCATATCAGAGGTTACATTCCTGCTCAGCAAGTTGAAACTCCATCTCATGAACTTAATCCGGTTGAAGATGTTCCAAGGCCAAGCATTCAACACATTCCGGATAATGGAGTTCCTTCTGAGAATGTAATACCTACCCCAGTTGAAACCTTGTCAGGCCCTAGACAAGAGTCGCATGAAAGTAATGATGTTACCCCCACAGTTTCAATCCCTAATACTGACACAGAAGAAACTGCAAGAAGAGTTTCACAAAGAAACACAAAAAACACCTGCAAAATATGATGATTTTATTATTTATCAGTAGGTTTAAAGCACATTCCAGAAAAGCAATTCAGTTTTGGATTATATATTATTTTCTCAGTTGTAACTCACATAATTTGATTAATGTTTATAATGCATATACTATCAGAAATATGGTAAAACATAACAGACAGTCATCCGGTATAGAAGTGACTGATACAAAATAGGAAGGTACAAATCTATTTCGTCCAAGAAATATTTTGCAAGATAGTTGTATTTATGCCAAGTGAAACTATTGTAGATCAAAATTTATTTTTGTGTGTGGGTTAAACATGTTTTCATATTTTGGTATTGCATTAGTCTGCAAAAGTGCAACAGGTATTGTTTATGTGTTACATAATTCAGGCAATGATCAAAAGGAAAAAAAAGTTTTTCTATGGCGATGAAAGCTAATGTGGTGCATTTATCACAGGTGTTGATGTTTTAAAAAGTAAAAGTATAAATTGTTCCACATTTTATCCGAAATACTACATGTATTTTCATGGAGAAAATGTCACTTATTTTGGTCTGTTCATTATTATGCCAGGAGATAAGTTAGTTGATAAAGTTTGGATCCAATCAGATTTTGTATTAAAGTACAAGGATTTTATTTAATTGTTTTGCCATGTAAAGTTATCATGCATAAAGTAATGTATATGTTGACTATTTTCAAGGAGGAAGATTGTTGTTCCTTAGGTGTCAAACAACCTTCAAGTAAAACTTAGATTAGTTAATATAGGTTGATATACCAGTTGAAATTTTGTGTTGTACTTACATGCATCAAAGCAATGTTGCTAGTTTATGTTATACATGGGATAGGATTTTTTGTAATAGACTCAAGTTGTGCGAGTACATTCCTTACATGCCAGTGTCACATCTCTAAACAAACACTTTTTGAGAAAATTAGACCATATTGTTATATAGTTCTGCCCTAGTCTGCATGCCAGTTAGATACATGTATTTCATTTTAGTGTACCCATGTAATTCACTAAAAGGGGATGGAATGTTATGTATGACTTCTGAAAATAAGACTATGCATGTCTTGACTTGTCAGTTTATGTATACGCACGCATTGTACAGCGCGCAGTTTCCTTCGATGCCTTCATCGAATAAAGTCCATGCTACAACCATTTAGTGTAAAAGTTACGAATAAGTCTTTATTTGTCATCTTTATTTGGCTGAACATCAACCTTGAATATTGATAGAACATAATATGGTCAAAGCAATTGCCTCCCATCCTGGCGACCCACATTTGATTCCCGGTAGTAAGTTTTTGTTTTTTTGCTTTCGTTTTATATTTAATATTATCACTGGTACCCTCCCGTTGTGGACTATCTGACAATGAGATCGTTGGTACTAAGCTGAAACTTAACATAAAGGTAAAACATGACGGGTGGAGCATTTAATGAAATAAGATGAAATTGTGAAAATGCATTCTTCATTATGTTGATAAGGGTCAAAAGTGTATCTGCTTATTGTACAGGGTCAATGATCATATTGTCTCTCTATCTATCTTCCATATAGATCCATAATGATCAATGCTACACATGCAGTTGAAACTTGACATATGGATAGAACATAATGATAGGAGCATTTTATAAGATATGTAATCTTAAAGATGAATTCTTCAATATGTTTATTTGAGGAAACGTATCACCTAATTCGTCTAAGTGACGAATTAAAGTCTAGTTTCATATTGGATCATTGAAATGATTGTGGTTGTGAAACAAAACAAAAAAGGGATTAAGCAGATGAAGGATAGATTCTTGCAGAGATGTAAACTTGATTAACTTTCATAGCATTTGGTGTACATGCCAAGACAACTTCAACTTAGGGATTATGTTACGTTATGTATTTCTTTGTATTTCAGCTTTGGCTTTTTGGGTCGCAAAATTTGAAAATTTGGCCGATCGATATTTCGTCTCGTTGGGGGGGGGGGGGGGGGGGGGGGGGGTTAAGATAAGCTTTTCGGGTCACCTATTACCACAATTAAAAAAACAAAAAAAAAACACAAAAATTAATTACAAACAAAACAAAGGGGGGGGGGGGGAGGTTTTCTTCCAAAACATACACATACAAAAGTTAAAGGTGGGGGGGGGGGGGTTAAACCCTAAACTCCCCCCCCCCCCCTGCGTACGCGACTGTATCTTAAAATACAAATCACACCTACCCTGAGGCTTCTCACAGATGTATGGCCATTGATACGAACACCGGATATCATTCCACTTCCCATGAACGGAAGAGTGCGTGTACATGCAGGCGCAGTCTTCCTTCCCACCGGAATCGTTTGGTTCTGATGGAGCCCATAAAGACTCATTTCTCCTATTATACCAAATGGTTGATTTAGAAAAAATGAATATAAAAGATAATCATCGTTCAGTATCAGAAGGCATTTCTTTCAACACATTTATCTCAATGGCAATATATTTTATACTGATTGCACAAAATATCGGTAGAAGAATCTTGCCATGCGGAAATGCATGAGAAATCCGACAGTAAGCCCAATTATTGTACCCCGGTATTGTACTCACTAATCCTTTAAGTGAAAAAAAAAAAAAATCGGTGAAGCTATAATTGCATGTAATATGACTGTGAAATATGTGTTTGTCATTAATAAAAAAGAAAAAGAAAAAAGAAGTAAAAATTCGATAGAAAACAAGAAGAACAATTTGAAATCACCTTTCCAGAGTGTCATCTAGCCATACAAAATTGCCACCGTTTTCTCGTCTAAGTCCAAACCAATAGCAAGCGTTTGGTTGGTTCGAAGTTGATATGATTTCTACCAGGAAACTCTTAAAAAGATACCGTGGGGAAAGAGGACAAAACAATGATAAACGTAGGGAACAAAGATTCTTTTTTCCCCTCTCGTCTGAAAATAATATCCTTAACGTTGTCAAAAGTCAGTAGGCCTACTTCCGTCATAGTTTGCCATTAATGGAAAGTTCCTGTTGAAAGAAGCGTTTTCACGAGAAACATTTATATGACATCATCAAATGTTATGCAACCAGGCGCGTACGCAGGGGGGGGGGGGGGGGGGGGGGTTAAACCCCTTGTTTTTTTATGTGTAAATTTTTTAACAAAAAAAATTAAAGTGACCTAACCCCCCCCTCTACGGAGCAAAATATCAAATGTTCAAATTTCGAGACTACCCCCCTACCCATCCCCCCTCCCCCGCTTATTCGGCGGCTGACTGACTCGTTGCGAAATTTTAGGCCCGATTTCAAAATGTTAACTCCCCCTTGAAAAAAAAACCCTGCGTACGCCACTGTATGCAACAATATGAACATGTTTTTGATATACGTTTTCCAAATGTAGGCTTAAAGCTTATAGTTCCAGTTTAAAAAACTATTATAAGCCGGGTTATATTATCATATTATGGTTTATATTACCTATGGCTATAGAGAATTCCCCGGTGCCGTGACCTGTTAAAATGATTATGTATGCTCCTTTTCAATGAAAATAAAATTGAATGATATAACTCATACAGGTGAAAGCGTAGGATTATTTTCTCTTACATTAATTTCATCTGATTTGATTAGGGCCAGGTCACCGCCATTGCTCATGCAGTTTGCTCTTGCATCTTCAAAGGATCGTGCTTCTCCGTAGAACCGATATGACGATTGGCCGAAACGATGCCACGAAAAACCGGAATCTGGCGATGTAAATATGACACAGGTATAATTCAATTTGTCTCATTAAAAAAAAAAAAAAAATACTTTGTATTATTGGGCTGTTTGTTAGGTGAAGCGTTCGGTACGTAGTACGTATCACCCTTTTTTCCCGTCAAGATGTGTATTATTAGGTTATACGTACGGTACGTATACGTATCACCTTTTGAACTCAAGATTTGTATTATTATTAGGTTATCATGACGTCATCCAGGCGCAATTTTGTGAAAATCAACTCATGATCATATCTTCATAACGGAAGGGCATTTCTCATTCATATTTAACATGATCAAAGTCGATATCCGTCCGGTCAATTTCAGATCAAAACACGCGAGCGTATGGCCCACGTCCATGTGTAAACGCACGCGAAAAAAATTAAATGTCGTCTCAAATTTATTTTGCATACGATTAAGGTCATTTTGAGCATATTTCAAAAGATCTCGTACACGCACATGCGCGCGCGTTTTCGTTCGTCATGTCTGTTCACATCATAAAATCGACACTCCTTTTTCTTTCATTATATTTTCCATTCTTTTCCGAACAATTTATACCATGTTTATATCTTTATGACCATTAATAACGAAATGAGTGTCCGTTCAAGATAAATGTCCGTGCACGCGAGCTCTTATGATACATATT